TATTTATTTGAGAGAGAGAGAGAGAGAATGAGAATGAGAGGGAGAGGTCAGAGGGAGGGACAGACTCCCTGCCGAGCCGGGAGCCCGATGTGGGATACCATCCTGGGACTCCAGGATCATGACCTGAGCTGAAGGCAGCAGCCCAACCAACTGAACCACCCAGGCACCCCTAAAATCTTTTTTTAAAAAACAAATAAGTTTTAGGGGTGCCAGGCTGACTCAGTAGAACATGTGACTCTTGATCTCAGGGTTATGAGTTCAAGCCCCATATTATGTGTAGAGATTGCTTAAAAAAGTAAAATCATAAAGAAAACCCCATACGTTTTAGCCATTGGTAAGTGAGAAAAGTCTCCTGGTCGAAGCATAGAGTATTCTCCTGGGGCAGGGAAGAAGCTAGATATAACAGAGTAAGGAAAGCATGATCCTTTATTTATGTAGCTCTACAGATGGTTTAAGGCATCAGGGGATATGAAAGGAAGCAGGATTTTGCTTGGGTCCTGTTAAGTAAGATCATCTTTGGGATAAACATTAAAATGACAAAAGAAACATATGAAGAAAAGAACAAAGTTCAGGACAAACAATACCCGATTTCAAGATTTACTGTAAAGCTTGAGTAATGAAGATAGTGTTGTACCGGTGAACGGATAGACATACAGACCAATGCAATGAAATAGAAAGCCTGGAAGAAGAACCATACATTAGTCGTCAGTTAATTTATGACAAAGGTGCGAAGGCATTCAATGAGGAGAGAGAAGTCTTTCCAATAAATTGTGTTGGAACCACTAGATATACATATGCCAAAAAAAAAAAAAAAAATCAAACCCCAGTCTTCATCTTACATCATATGTAAAGATTAACTCAAAATGTCATGTAGATCTAAATGTGAAAGCTAAAACAATAAAACTTTTAGAAGGAAATAGGAGAAAAATGTTTGTGACTTCAGACAGAACCAAAAAAAGAAGAAATCATTTTAGAATTGATAATTTGGGGACACCTGGGTGGCTCAGTGGGTTAAGCCTCTGCCTTCGGCTCAGTTCATGATCTCAGGGTCCTGGGATCCAGCCCTGCATTGGGCTCTCTGCTCAGCAGGGAGCCTGCTTCCTTCTCCCTCTCTCTGCCTTCCTCTCTGCCTACTTGTGATCTCTGTCTGTCAAGTGGATGGATAAAATCTAAAAAAAAAAAAAAATTGATAATTTGAACTTAATCAAAGTTAAAAAAACTTTTGCTACTTAAGAGATATTAGGAAAGTGAAAAAACTGAAAAAAAAGACTAGGGAAGACGTTTTATGTGTATCAGCCAATAGATTTGTATCTAGACTGTATAAAGAACTCTTACAACTCAATAAAAGAAAGGGCAAACAACTTTTTAAAAATCTGAAGACTTGGGGTGCCTGGGTGGCTCAGTGGGTTAAGGCCTCTGCCTTCGGCTCAGGTCATGATCTCAGGGTCCGGAGATCAAGCCCCGCATCAGGCTCTCTGCTCAGCAGGGAGCCTGCCTCCTCCTCTCTCTCTCTGCCTGCCTCTCTGCCTACTTGTGATCTCTGTCTGTCAAATAAATAAATAAAATCTTTAAAAAAAAAAAACCTGAAGACTTGAACAGACACTTCACCAAAGAAGATACATGGATAATCAATGAGCATTCAACGTCATTAGTCTTCAGGGAAATGGACATTAAAACCATGTAAGATATGACCACATAACCACCAAAATGGCTAAAATTAAAAAGATTGACAATACCAACTGCTGGGAAGCATGTAAAACAAATAGAACTCTCATATGTGGATGGTGGCAATGAAAATACGCTACAGCCACTTTGAAAATGGTTTGATAGTCCCTTATTAAGTTAGACATATACTTGCCATATAACCCAGAATTTCACTCCTAGGCAATTTGTCCATGAGAAATTTAAAAATATGTCCATACAAAGACTTGTCCATGAATGTCCATAGCAGCTTTATTCACATATTAACCCCCAAATATAAACAACTCAATTGTCCATCAACAGGAAATGGGTAAACACATTACATATTCATTTAATAAAATACTCAGCAGGGACGCCTGGGTGGCTCAGTTGTTTAAGCGGCTCCCTTCGGCTCAGGTCATGATCCCAGCGTCCTGGGATCGAGTCCCACATCGGGCTCCTTGCTCGGCAGGGAACCTGCTTCTCTCTCTGCCTCTGCCTGCCTCTCGGCCTACTTGTGATGTCTCTCTCTCAATCTGACAAATAAATAAATAAAATCTTTAAAAAAAATAAAATAAGGGGCCCCTGGGTGGCTCAATGGGTTAAGGCCTCTGCCTTCGGCTCGGGTCACGATCCCGGAATTCTGGGATCGAGCCCCGCGTTGGGCTCTTTGCTCAGCGGGGAGCCTGCTTCCCCCTCTCTCTCTGTCTGCCTCTCTGCCTACTTGTGATCTCTGTCAAATAAATAAATAAAATCTTTTTAAAAAATAAATAAATTAATTAATTAAATAAAATAAAATACTCAGCAATAAAAAGGAGCAAATGACATATGCATTTATCTAAAATTCTAGAAAAGGCAAACTAATCTATAGTGATAGGAAACAAGTCTGTTTACCTAGGTTGGAGTGGAGAGGGGAAGATGTGTTCAAAGGGAACTTTTGGGATAATGGAAGTGTTCTATGTCTTTGTGGCATCAAAACTCACTGAGCTGTGTACTTTAAATGAAGGCACTTCATTGTATATAAATTATACCTCTATAAAGCATGAGAGACACTAGGCACGCCGGGTGCAATGCTGAGGAGTGGTAGCACATGCAGATGATAAAATATTACTGTTCCCTAGGCTTCACAGTGGAAAATAATGTGCATAATTTTCAATAAAGATAGAAGTTTGCTTTCTTTGTGCTGCTCCTCATTCACTGATCCAACACATATTTATTGAGCTTCTACTATGTGCCGGACATTTGACTCCATGTTGAGAGTACAAAGGCAGGCAAACAATCTTCACACAGTTCCTAACCTCACAGAGCCTTCAGTTCAGTGAGGAAGGTGGAAAGGCCAACTACAGTTTATGAGGATGATTTCTGTGAGCAGAAGAATAGGAGATGTCAATGAAGTACTTTTGCCTTGTGACCACTTCCTGAAGCAAGTGACATCTAAGTTCATATCTAAAGAGTGAGGTTTAGTTAACCAAAATAAAGCTAACTGTCATTCCAGAAATGCTCCCTTTCAGGAGGGACACAGAACAGATGGTCACATTCAGTATGTTCATGTATACAAGCTTTGAATTAATGCTTCCCCAACTAATCTGTTTTTCAAAAATTTTTCAAAGCCGCATTTTTTTTAAACTTATCCATGCTTTTAGCTTAATACCAAAAATACATACATTTTTAATCAAATCCTGGTAGTTTTATGACTGAAATCCTTACCCATTTTTGTACAGTATAACTTGTTATACAATGAGAGTTTTCATTTTAAACCTATTTTAGGTAGTGTAATTATAGAGTCACATTATTTACTATGAAATAATCTGATACAATTAATTATACTGTCAAGTCAGAAAAAAGAGGAATCGTCTACATATGAGATATACTAAAAAGGTAACCTTGTCAAATATATTTGGATAGGTAGAGGATAATCCTTCGTGAAGAGTGTTATGCCCACCTTAGAGTGTTTGGAAAGCTTTGGGATGGTTTTGTGGTTGGTGCATTGATTGGGAGAGGTATTTACAACCAGAGGTTAGGGTCAGGGGCGGTAAATGCTTTTCCATGGTTGGGGCAATGGCACACATACAAAAATTACTCTGGCCCCCCAATGCTAATTGCATCCCCACTGAGAAGTACCATTGGAAGTTCTCCTGTGCCCTTTCCAGCTCTAAAAGTTTGCTGGTGGATTTTATGCATTCACCTGAAATGGCATTGCTTTATCAAGAAGACAAAAATCAGCCAACTTGACATCTGTGATAATTAATTTTATGTATCAATCTGGCTGGGCTACGGTGCTCAGATATATGGTCAAACAAAATTCTGGATGCTTGTGTAAGGGTGTTTTGGATGACATTAACATTTAAATCAATGGATTTTGAATAAAGGAGAATGCCCACCGAAATGTGGGTGGGCCTCAACCAATCACCTGAAGGCCTGAGTAGAACAAAAGATTTTCCTCCGGGAAGTGAGAGGAAATTCTGCCAGCAGATGGCCTTTGAACTTGAACTGCAGACTAAACTTTCCAGTCTCCATAACTGAGTGAACCAATTCCTTAACTCTCCCCCAAATTCTTTCTATTTCTTTCTATATTGGTTTCATTTCTCTGGAGAACCTTGACTAACACAGTGTCCTTATTCTTTTTTTTTTTTTTTAAGGTTTTTATTTATTTATTCGAGAGAGAGAGGTGGGGGGAGAGATTAAGAGAACAAGTGAGAAAAGGGGCCGAGAGAGAGAAGCAGACTCCTTGGAGAGCAGGGAGCCTGATGGAGGGCTCCATCAACCCCAGGACGCTGGAATCATGACATGAGTGGAAGGCAGATGCTTAACTGACTGAACGACCCAGGTACCCCTCTAGCATCCCTAGTCATGGGCATAAGATTTACAAAATGTTGAATGGAAAAACAAATTTATCCACATTTCCACATTTGCCATATTATCACATTTATTCTGGAGATGGATAGCCATGGTTTCATTAATGCATACCTCAAATCTCAAATATTTCAAGTATTTGAGTTTTAGAATGCCCCTGAGCTTTTTTTTTTTTTAAATATTTTATTGATTTATTTGACAGAGAGAGAGAGATCACAAGTAGGTAGAGAGGCAGGCAAAGAAAGAGTGGGGAACAGGCTCCCCACGGAACAGAGAGCCTGATGCAGGGCTCGATCCCAGGACCCAGATCCCAGGACCCTGAGATCTTGACCTGCCGAAGGCAGAGGTTTAACCTGCTGAGCCACCCAGGTGCCCCTAGAATGCCCCTGAGCTTTTAACTGAGTATCTTTCCTCTGCACATTTAAACTCATGTGCACAGAATCCCTGTGATTTTGATTCATTTACAGGTAACTCATCAAAACCTCAACTCGCAGCCTTCACTCTGAGCCTTCTGGATGGTTGAACTTGGCTCCAACAAGTCTTTGTCCAAAGAACCAGAATTGAAGAAATAAAATAAAGAACCCAATTTGGAGTAAATTCAGAAGGTACAGTTTCTGATTCAGTTCCTATTCCCTTTTTAAACACATTTATTTTTACTCATATTCACTTGAAAAAAACCGCTATATACCTTCAACCTATTCAATGTTCTCTCAGACACTTTTAAATACATACATATCTTCAAACCAAAAGCAGCAAGTAATTTTGTATAAAGCGTATTTGCATTAAAGTCTATTTCTTTCTGTGCCTTGGTTATATGTGCCACTGGAGGATTAGTGTCAAGTTCAGGGGATCCAGGCGTAACCTGTATTAAAGGATTTTTTGTTTTGTTTTATTTTTTGTTTCCCTTTAAGTGCCTCATGTTGTTTTGCAAAGTCCACGTAATTTAATCTATCTAATTATCCTTTCAACAGAAAAACATCCCTGATGTTGCCTTATTCCAACAAAAACAGCACTATCTCATCCAACAAAGTAATGCCCCTGAGACATCATACAATAACAAACCAAGATGAACAGGGAAAGAGAAAAACCGAATACTCGCAAAGAGAATTAGAAGGCAGTTTTGCACTTCGAAGAGGCTAACCTCTCATTTCTTTTAAACATCCGATCTCAGGACTATGGGGCTGACCTTAACTTATAGATAATAGAGAATTTCTTAAGCTTGATTAACAATTTTTCAGACAATTTAAAGGTTACAAATGTTAAAAACAAACAAAACAAAACAAAACAAAAAAACCCCACACTCCTTTTTCTCTGGCTTTGACAGCTAAAGTTTTATTTCAGAATTGCACATTTATCTGTAATATTCCAGACTCTAAGATAATGAGAGTTAATTAACCCGGCAATAACCGTCATCTATTTTTCAGAGAATTAAGCACACACCATGAACCACACACCAGACAAAACTCGGTCTTTGAACAGCAGTGTACCTAATGCTTCAAATCAGAATTAGATAGAGAGGTGTTCTTTTCAGGAACTGAATGAGAAATGGGCTATTTAAAATAAATTTCATTTATCTGATTGCTTTTTAAATTAGAATAACCCTTTTCTCATAACCTCAACGTAATGTATGCTTATTCCCAAAAATACAGAGAAGCAGAAAGAGAGAAATAAAGAATATTACTCAGGTCCACCCCCCCCCCCCAGGTATAAACATGTTGATGACACAGTAGGAAGCCATATGGCACAGGGTCAAAGAGCTCAGTACGCACAGCTAGATAGGCTGTGTGCGTTCACACCTAATTCCACCACTCGCCACCTCTGTGCTGAGCTAGTAATTTCATGTCTCCATCCCACCTTCCTCATCTGTAAAATAGAGGAGCAAGGATGTTGTGAAAATTAAATGAAACATGTCCTGCAGTGTGTCTTGTATATAGCAAGCCTTTATTTTTTTTTAAGATTTTATTTATTTATTTGACAGACAGAGATCACAAGTAGGCAGACAGGCAGGCAGAGAGAGAGAGGGATGCTTAGCAGAGAGCCTGCTGTGGGGCTCAATCCCAGGACCCTGAGACCATGACCTGAGCCGAAGGCAGAGGCTTAATTAACCCCCTGAGCCACCCAGGCGCCCCTATAGCAAGCCTTTGATGAATATTGATTATTAGTTCAACTTTCTTGATTCTTTTTGTCGTAGTGTTTTCAAGTAGGGACATCACTGTTTTTTTGTTTTGTTTTGCTTTTTGTTTTTAAGATTTTATTTATTTATTTGAAAGAGAGCAGGAGCAGGGGGAGGGGCCGAGGCAGAGAGAGAGAGAGAGAGAGAGAGAAGCAGACGCCCGCTGAGCAGGGAGCCTGATGTGGGGCTCCATCCCAGGACCCAGGGATCATGACCGGAGCCGAGCCAAAGACGCCTACTTAACCCATGGAGTCCAGGCGCCTGGGACATTGATGGTTTTGATTTACATTCGAAAAGGGCACTGAGCATCTCAGAAGATAGTCATTTATAATCACAATTATCTTTTTCTTCACACTTCATACTTTTTTTTTTTTTCAAAATCGTATAAGGGGGAAATTGCATATAAAATGATGCTATTTTTAAAATCAAGGCTGGTTTTTAAAGCAAGAGCAATCTTTTATTTCACGAATCAAAATTAATATATCATTTTGCAATTTTCCGTGCAATAATGTTTCAAGCTCTTCCAAACATACTGTTTTATTTAATGCTCACACAATACTCTTTTGAAAGAACAAGACATTAGAATTATCTCCGTTTTTTGAACTAACTCTTCCTTTACACTAATAATAGACCATTGTCATTTGCATTTGCCCTTGGAGACTATATTTAGATTTGGGGAGAAATAAAATTACATGTCTATCTGCTCAATGCTTAAAGCTAAAAATTCCACCTGCTTCTCCTCTTATTTTCCCTATCTTATTTAGAGATATCACCAACCAGGAAGTCAGCCAGACTCTAAACCTGAGTCATGCTATGCCTCTGTCTTCACCCTTACATTCCATGAATTACTGAGTCTGTTGGTTATATTTCCTTTTTTTCTTTTTAAGATTTTATTTATTTAGGGGTGCCTGCGTGGCCCAGTTGGCTAAGGATCTGTCTTCAGCTCAGGTCATGATACCAGGGTCCTGGGATTGAGTCCCACATCAGTCTCCTGGTTCAGCAAGAAATCTACTTCTCCCTCTCCCCCTGCTTGTGCTTTCTTTCTCTTTCTCTCTTGTCAAATAAATGAATAAAATCTTTTTTTAAAAGACTTTTAAAAACATCTTAAAATCTTTTTTAAAAAAAGATTTTATTTATTTATTTATTTATTTATTTGAAAGCCAGAGCACATGAGTGCAGGGGCGGCAAGGGGTGGGAGTTGAAGGGGCCAAGGGAGAAAAACAAGCAGGCTCCGCGCTGAGTGAGGAGTCCAATGTGGGGCTTGATCACATGACCCTGAGATCATGACCTGAGCTGAAATCAAGAGTCAGACGCTCAACTGACAGAGCCATCCAGGCGCCCTGGTTATATTTCTTAAATGTATCTGGAAACAACCCCTTACTTTCCATCCATCTTCATTGGCACTGCCTTATTCCAGGTCTGTAGTGTTGCAATCACCTTGGAGCTCACCTCACTGCCTCCAACCTTACTCCCTGATGTCTGCCACAGAGAAAACTCTTTGGCCACCATTACTTCCAGACTAGTGGCATAAGGCTTTTCACGATCCGGCCCCTTCCAAATGAACAAGATACCTATTTACAAACCGTGTACCCAAGTATCAAAGTAATGTGGAATATTCCTCTGCAGTGACTAAAATTCAAATGTCTGCTCTTTAGGGCCCTTTCTTCCTATTAGCAAGGAAACCAGAAAGTTGCAGTGACAAAGGTAAGGTAGTACTTAGTAAGCAGAAGCACTGTACAATCACTAGGGAAATTTCATGCAGACTAGAGCAGATCCCAATACCCTCTCCTTTGTCCACAACAGTGTGCTTTTCTAATGTTCGGAATATAGCATTCGCTTCCACTAGATTATCTCTGCCTCTCAGACTTCATTTGGGAAACACTGAGAAAAATTTATTTTCCAAGCTAATTCCCACCTTTTCATGAAGACTTCTTGTATTTCCACCCAGTTAAAATTATTTCCTGCCCTAGCTGTCCTATCATAGTACTGTGTTCTGTATTGACTATTTCTACTATTGGACTTGTTAATTTTTTTAGCACTAAAATGATTTATGAAGGTTGCTTTCTGCTAGAAGGCTGCAAGTGAACCACCACTTGGGTCAACCAGATCTGAGATTGAAATCTGATTCCTTCACCTACTCATTGAGTGGCCTTTGTCTAGTCCCTTAATCTCTCTGACTATATAGTTGCCTTACCCATAAAATATAGACAAGATGGTCCTAGCTTCATAGAGTTATTGAGAAGATTCAATGTCAAGCTACATGGAAAGTACTTTGCACAGTACGAGACACATGGAAAACACCCAATAAAGTAGATCTTATTGATCATCTGTTCATTCAGTGTGGCAGTGAGGAATCCTATGCCTAGGATAGGATCCATTATACAGTCTTGTTTTCTACTTAGTGGTTTATCTACTTTGGAAACCAAGAATGTTTTCTCTTTTAAAATATTTTGTCCATTATTTAGGGAGCAGACTTTCTCAGACAACTAGAAATACCCAGTTGGCTTACCTAGGTACCCCCTACCAGACTATAAGTTACTAGAGAAGAGGTGGAAGGTTTTAATTCTTTTTGAGTCCCCAGCACCTAGAAAATGCCTGGCAAAGACCAGGTAATTAAAGGAAATGTTTACTGAATGAATAAACTTCTAGAAACTATTTATGACACATTTTTTATTTTAACATCTAGACCAGTAGTTCTCAAAGTATGCATCCTGGATCTGCAGCACAGACATCACATTGAGTTTGTTAGAAACACACATGGAGTTCTATGTTTTGATTGGAAACAGATTACAAGAGTTTATGCCTATGTCAAACTCATAAACCTGGGCGTGCCTGGGTGGCTCCGTGGGCTAAGCGTCCGACTCTTGATCTTGGCTCAGGTCTTGAACTCAAGGTTGTGAGTTCAATCCTGTTTTGGAGCCTATTTAAAAAAATAAAACAAAATCTCATCAAACTGTATACTTAAAGACTTTTTTTTTTAAATTTGACAGAGAGACATAGCGAGAGAGGCAACACAAGCAGGGGGAGTGGGAGAGGGAGAAGCAGGCTTTCCATGGAAGAGGGAGCCCAACGTGGGGCTCAAGCCCAATGTTATCCCATTATCCCATTATCCCAGGACCCTGGATAATGACCTGAGCCAAAGGCAGATGCTTAATGCCTGAGCCACCCAGGTGTCCAAACTGTATACTTAAGACCAGTGCATTTCACTGTATATAAATGAAGTACCAACAGGAAACTAAAATAAAGTATTGCTATTTTAATTCCTTCTGTATATATCTTATCAGCAGAAGTTTTTTTGCCTATCAATCTTAAGATCTCTACAAGGCCCTTGTGGATC